GGTGGTAAGGGGGCGGGGTGGGGGGAGTGGCGAACCCTTACACACAGCAAACAGTGACGTTCGAAGTTAACCAGGCCCCCCTCCACTCGTCCGTTACAAAGTTTTGTGAGAGTCGTCGTCTGCTAGCCTCGCTCGCCGTCTGCTGGGATCTGGTCGCGTCTGCGAAATAAAATCTTGGCGTATTTCACGACACGTACGAATTAGGAGGGCCAGCCAGCAGACGATAGCCCTTGCAGGAAGGATTTGGTGGTGCGTTGAAATAGCCGTGTAAACAAACGGTTTGGCTTACAACTACTATGCATTGTAGTTGCGGCGTTGTTGTAGTGGTGTTGAGTGGTGCGTTACGTTACAACTGATTCGCTTACCGGCAGGTAGATCTCTCTTACATGTAGGCCTTTGCGCTTTGGTGCTTTAAAAAAGCTGACAGAAGTGTTTTGACTCTCAGTACTGTGGTAGTGGTAGTTCTCGTTGGTGTAGTGGTGTTGAGTGGTGGATTACTTTGCCAAGAACTTTGATTCACGTTCACTCAGATAGGTAGGTCGGCTTTGGTTCGGTGGTAAAATAGCCGTGTTATTATGTTTTAGCACAATATCTTTATAGATCAAGTTGTGGTAGCGGTGTGACAAGAACTTCGATTCGCTGACAGGAAGGGAGGGAGGATTTTGGTACGTCAAGATTGAAGTGTTTTGCCTACAATAATAATGTGTTGTGACTGTGATTGATATGGTCGTTTTGTTGTAATGTGTTAATGAATAAATTAGGCTTATCTAGATCTAGATCTAGATATTAGATCTAGATTCTAGATCTAATCTACATCTACTTCTATATCTAGCCTACGTGTATTTTTTTTTTTTGGAAGTAGATTCTAGATCTAGTTGTCATAATGTGTTGATAAATGTTCAGGTCTAAGTCTAACGATATTATTATTGTCGTTGTAGATCTAGATCTAGATCTAGATCTAGATATCTAGATCTAGAATCTAGTTGTTGTTGGACGGGAAGCGCTGTTGTGTTATAAACTTGGATTCGTTGACGGGGAGAAATTAGGGCTTAGATCTAAATGGTTTGTCAATATTGTTGTTGTGTAGACAGTGACAGTGATTTTACGTTTTGGCTTTTAAAAAAAAGGTAGTTCTGTTAATGCTCTGCTACTTAGATTGGAACAGTTGCCGACGGGAAACGCCCTGTTACGTCAGAACTTTGAATGATTCGCGACCTGGAAAAAAGGATTTGGCTGGCATAAATACAACATATGATAATTCATTAAGTTATGTTGTTACAGGGACTGGTGCCATAATTATGTAATACGTTATTATCGTGGCTTAGTACCACTGCTGGTTGGATAACGCTAATCTAGACTGCACTGCTGGTTGGATAACGCTAATCTAGACTGCACTGCTGGTTGGATAACGCTAATCTAGACTGCACTGCGTCTATTACGTCCATTTATTAGGACCATTGTTGTTAAAATATTGTTGTTAAAATATTGTTGTTGTATATGTTGTGGGAAGCGGGAAGCGGCGTGTCGTCGTATGGTTCAGTTACAACTTTGATTTTCTGACTCTGACAAGAGCAAATAATTTGGAGGTTTTCCTGGAGACTTTATAAATATGTAATATTGGCGTTTATTGTCACAGTTTTATTCACATTTTCTCTTTAATTTCCGCACGAAAATGAATTGCTTTTTGGGGTCTAACGGCCTTGTTTTTGGCTGCAAAACACACAACTAATGGCTGTTAAAACAAATGTGGAGAAGTACTCACCCGTCTCCTTGACTGTGTTTCATAGGCGTGCATTAAAGTGTGGTGCAGATGCAAATACAGAAGGTCTACTTTTTAAAATGATAATATCATGTTTAAATTGAAAGCTGCAAATCCCTAATTATTTATTTATTTAATTTCTTACACCCTAGGCTTACTGCTAGGAAAACGTGCCGCAACTTTAGAAATCATTTCTTGGCTGTCGAGAATTAAAAGAACAATATTAATTTCCCACAATGGGTGTTTTTTAATAGTAGTTTGCTTCGGGCATAATCTATCACTTTGACGACTTATATATATATCATGAATACTTTGCTATTGTAGACTTATTGTGATGTGATATTTGTCATCAATTTCAGGGGAATAAGTCACTGCGTTCTAGCGATATAACATAATTATCCTGTGGAATACCTCATTGTGGACTATTGATATGATGTCATTAATATGTGGAGTATCTCATTGTGGACTATGATGTCATTGATATGACGAGTGCGTCAACTTGGACTGTTGATATGACGTCTTATGTGGAGCATGTCGTGGTGGACTACTGATATGATGACATTACCATGTGGATTACGTTACTGAAGAGTACAGAAGGAGAGGATAAATTGCCTACAGGAGAATGGTGAGTTGTTGGAGTGAGAGAAAGTGATGAGAGCATGGTGGAAAGGAAAACCTACATTATATCACCAACCTGTACTACTAAAGGCCACTTGTGAAAAGTGAGACAGAGAGATAGAGAGAGAGTGTGTGTTTGTGTGTGCGTGTGTGGGTGTGAGTGTGTGTGTGTATGTGTGTGCGACTTGAAATTCGAGAAACAAAGAGAGGGAGAGAGAGAGTGAGTGAGTGAGAGAGAGAGAGAGAGAAAGAGAGAGAGA